GGGGCCGGGGCCGGGGCCGGGGCCGGGCGGCGCGAGGTCCCTGAGCCTTCCTGCGCCCCGGCATCTCTGGGAACTTCAGCGGCCTGGCTATTTTTACCTTATCTGATTTGCAAAGTTTTATGTGCTCTCGAACCGATAACCTCAAATTGAAATAGTATCCCTATTCATAAATTTCTCAGCCTCTGTTTTACAAAGTTTAATTTATTTCCTTTTTGTTTGATTTGAGTGCGTGAGATGAAGAATGAGGATTTATTTATTTTTTTCCACTTTTTCTTTGCGTGGTATTTCACTCAGCTTTCTGCTTTTGGCATTTCACTGATGGAAAGCCTCCTGGGTCTTCATTTGCCTTAATCTCCCAGCCTAGCTATTTTTGTCTGTAAGATGAAGTGAGAGTAAAGAGAAATTAGTAAGGTGTTTTTTTTTGTCCCCCCAAATAATTTTCTTTCTTTCTTTCTTTTTTAATTTCAGACAGCTGATACTCATTTTGGAACTCTATAATCCCAATGATGTTTATGATTACTTAATGCATATTGCCTTAAAGTTGTGTGCAGATAAAGTTTCTGAAGTTCGGTGGATCTCCTTCAAACTAGTAAGGAGTCATGGCTTTTGTTGTTGTTGTTTGTGCTTTTTGGAAATAGGAATATTTATGTTCCTTCCATTTTAACTCCTCTATTTTTTGCTCTTGATTTTTCAGTATACCTATGAAACCAGCTTTTAAATTTTGAAATTAGGGAAGTGTATTACAGTTTTATCAATACATAACATGGTTTTTTTCTTAAGTTGTACACTTCAGTGATAGAAATTGTAGATAAGTCATTTTATGTAAGAAACCCTTCAAACCATGACTTAGTGTTCCTTTTAAACACAGATTGGGTTTACTCGGCAGCATGGTTTTGTAGAAAAGTAGTGAGCAAGAGCTCCAGTGTAGAAGAGCTGATCCTGTTTTATGTGGGCTCATACCAGTTGAATACTGGGGGGGGGGATTGTCACTTGAAAATACTGATTCACTAAGGTACTCTCATGCTATTACAATTTTATAAAAATGACATGTTCTGAAAGGTAATGATTTAGTTATTATGCAAGGGACCATTTTCTAAAATTTGGAATCTTAAGATTAAGAATGTTCTTTTCTAATGCCGGTCCCTTTTTAAATTTCATTTTTATGAAGGGTTTCACGTGGGTGAGTGTGTGTATGTGCATTGTCATATATTTGAACATCTTTTTTCCTCTGTGTTCTAATGATGACCGTGACAAAAATGACTCTCTCCCTTGCTTATAGATTCATTTTAAAGGTGCATAAAAATGTCTGGTTTCTGTTTGAGTAGGATTCATAATTCAAACAGATGGCAGCATTTTAAATGTGCACCTCTGATATTTTTCACAGGTGGTGGCCATTCTGCAGAAGTTCTACTCCCACAGTGAGCGCGCACTGGGGTTAAATTTCATCAGTGAGCTCATCGTAAGGTTCCGGCACTGCGCTAAGTGGGTTGGAAGGCAAGCTTTCGCTTTCATTTGTCAGGTTAGCACGGCCTGGGGGGAATCTCCCCTGGGCTTATGTTGCTGTGGACTGATATCAGATGCACCAGACACAGAATCCCAGCCCTGAAATACCAGCTGGGAATTTGGGGATCAGTGGACCGAACCCCTTTATCTCACAGGAGATTGTGATCGGCCCAGTCAGGCAGAATGATTGGCCCAGGGTTACCCCACCCATCTGTGCATTCGGCCTGTAGATGTTGACTGAATGTCTCCTGTGTGCCGGGCGTGTTCTAGAAGCTGCAGACAGAGAGTGAACAAACTCCTGCTCCCCCAGCACCTTCCATCTGGTGAGGTGAGGGCGAGGCCCAGAGTCCTGCTTCTGCCGTGCCCAGTCCAGGGCTGTGGTCATCCCTGTCCCTGCCCTCAGCCAGCTGCCTGGCAGGGAAGGTGGGGTGAAGAACAGAGCAGTAGGTTAGGGCAGAGACTGTTGAATCCCTCTGAAGTGAAGTTCATGTCAGCTGTCCAGCATCTCTGGTCACCCTCTCTACTTAGTGTCCTGGAAATGGTGCGGGTCAGATTGGCTGGGGCTGATGGCTGCCATTTCTTGGACGCCTCTGTATGCCAGGTAGCTCATCATACATACATCTGATCCTCGGCGGTTAAGATCGGCCGTGTATCAAGCATGTCACACCCATGTACTTTCAGACCAGTTGTTTAAGGTGAAGCAGCTGAAGCCCAGAGAGGTTAAGTAACTTGATCAAGAGCACACAGGAAGTGTTAACACCGTGATTTTTTTTTTTTCCTGCTAACGTGTTATTTAAAAAGTTTTAGCCTTTCCCCTTGCACATTTTCAAGCATGTACAAAGGCGGAGGGAATAGTATGGACTCTCCATGAACCTGTCACCCAGCTTTGTCAATATTACAGTAAAGCTGTAATTGGACTCTGGCTGATCCTCATACCCAGTTCCCCCACCAAAGGACTCACCAGGGCCCCCTGTTGGGCTGGCGGGGCATCACAGGGTACTTTCGTGGTCTGCTTTGAAAAGGGCAGTGGGTGGCTGAGTAAAGTGCCAGATTCACAACCACAGGCCTGACGCCACAGACTTCTGTGAGGAAGAAGCCAATCCTGTAAATGAGGGATTGGGCTCAGTCCATAAGTCCATATCAGTCTTGGTAAATGAGTTATCTTTTTTTTTTTTTAAGGTTTTATTTATTTATTTGACAGAGACACAGCGAGAGAGGGAACACAAACGAGTGGGAGAGGGAGAAGCAGGCTTCCTGCAGCGCAGAGAGCCCAATGCGGGGCTCGATCCCAGGACCCTGGGATCATGACCTGAGCCAAAGGCAGACGCTTAGCGACTGAGCCACCCAGGCGCCCCTAAATGAGATATCTTTGCTTTTGTCTTTTAATTCTTGATCTGAGATTTAGAAAATCCATGATGAGACAAAAGGAAAAAAACACCCACTAATTTTCTTCAGGAAAAATCAGTGTGTATGCGCTTTCACGAATTATTAATAAGATTTAGAAAACCCACGACAAGACAGACAAAAGGAAGGGGGGGTCACTTGATGGTTATTTCAATGCTGCTCGGGGGAGCGAGCCTGACCTGGGGGCTGATGAGGGCCCACGCTGCAGAGGGGGACGAGCTGCTGCCTCTGCCTGGCCTCGCATGTGCCCAGCACCTGGGAAACACTTAGTGGACACCTGCAGCTCTTGTCACCCTGTCGCGGGAAGGTGTGCAGGATTTAGAATCCACACGCCTGGTTTGGACTCCCCACCCCACCCCAGTCGCTGGTGCTCATTGACTAGGAGACCTGCGGTGGCCCCACACCAGACCACAGTTTCCTCCCCTGTAAAACTGGGCTCACTCTGGCTTCCATGGCTGGCCGGGAGCTGTAGGCCTCTGTCAGCGGAGTGGCAGTGTGCCTGCCGAGGCAGCATTTGTCAGGTGTTCACACAGGGGGCCGGGCCTGCATGGGAGTCTGGGGCTGGCTGGCACTAGACAGGCCTGGCGCCAGCCCTCAGAACCCGAATTCTGGTGAGTAACAGAGGGGAGGGCCCTCAGCCTTCATTGGTGGGCGCTTTGCTAGATTCTTTGCAAAAATGATCTGCCATTCCCCCCCCCACCCCTACTTCCCCATTTTACAGGTGGGGAAACCAAGGCCCAGAAAGGTGAAGCCACTCACTCCAGGCCATGAAGCTAGTAAGTGTCCAAGTTAGGTTTGAAGCTAGGCCTGTCTGACTCAGAATCCTTTATTTTCTTCACCAAATTTTATACCACCTATAACCCAGTCCTTGGTGAGGACTTAGAAATTGTTAACTGTGTTTCTAACCAAATTCAGTGGTTGAGATTTTAAGATTCACACACACACACACACACACACACACACACACCTCAGACCAGCAGACCCCGAAATTACTTCTTTGGAATTGTGGAAGGGTGTTTTTAGAAGAAACCTGCTGACCACTGTGGAAAAGTATCAATTCTTTGGCTGTGGCTTTCTCTTGTGGCAGGCGGTGGTGAACGAGGAGTGCATCCCTGTGGACCAGTTTGTTGAACACTTGCTCCCCAGCCTTTTAAGCCTTGCCTCAGATCCTGTGCCAAATGTGAGGGTTCTGCTGGCCAAAGCTCTGCGTCAGACGCTGTTGGAAAAGGGTATGTGGACCGTTTTTCCGAACTTACACAGTTTAAAGTTCACCAAGCAGCAACTAGTCTTCCTCTTTAGAAACTTGTCTGATCGCATACTTCAGACATTATATAAATTGATGTATTAACTTTTATGCAGAATATTTTGTTATTTATAAAATGGTGGTTTAGTTTTCACATTTAATGAGCTTCATGGTAAAATGCAGAACTTCACAGTCTTCTAGAAATGGGGGAAACTTTTGTAAACGTTGAGTTACGACACAGACATTATGAAAGGCAGCCAACGTAAGCCTTCATTACGGTGAGGTTTGCAGCCTATTACTACGTCCTGAATAGGACGTGACGCAGCATTGCGTCCCTTGGACGGCAAGTTCGCACCTGCACCACGTGCGGAGCCGACCCCTTCCAGCCGGTCCCGGCAAGTGCCTGTCTTCCCGCCGCGCCCCCAGCCCCGCCCCACCCTGCCAGCCGCCTGTTCCCCTCCCTGCCAGCCACACACTGGCCGTTCTTTGGTAGTGGAGGGAAGGAAAGATGACATGCAAAGTTTTTAAACTATAATTTAAAAAATACGCATAGCCGTTCTTGGGAGTCCATCTTCGAAATTGAGGAAGTTACTCCTTGAGGAAAGCAGTCAGGTTATCATTCCGAAGGCCTTACGTATGTGGTTACTCTGTGAAGTGATTTATTGTCCTGAGGTGGGGTCTAAAACCCCCCCAGCACTCGAGTCTGTTTCGGAGCCCAGTTCAAGGCGCGTGTGAGCCAAACTACCGTTTTCTCTCTTTAGCGTACTTGAGAAATGCCGGTAACCCTCATCTTCAAGTCGTTGAAGAGACCGTCCTGGCTCTGCAGTCAGACCGGGACCCAGATGTGTCCTTTTTTGCCACCCTGGAACCAAAGCGGCGGAGCACCGCAGACAGGCCTGTGCTGGCAGAACGGAATTAGCCGCCCTGGGATCCCGCGCGCCGCGGCCACGTTGTTGGTGGCCACATACCTCTCACCCCCGCTTGTCAGGGGTCTGACTGTGCCACACCTTCTGAGGGAAGAAAGATTTCTGAAACTTTGAGGGCGGGCACTCAAATGACCCCTTTCCCATCTGCCGCCCCAGGGACTGCACCTGGGACGGGCACCACCCTCTGCGCCCCTGCCTGCTGATCGGGATGCCCGCGACAAGGCTGTAGCCCCAGGTGGCTAGCTGGGCACGGGGGTCTCCATAGCATCAGATCGCCTTCTCCATGACAGACTGACTATACTATTTAAAGCCCCCTTCCTCCCAAAATAAAGTAGTTTATTAGGAGCTTTTAAGTCTTTAAGAGACTTGCATATTTGGCTTCCCTCATGCTTTCCTGTAAAATATAGTTTATGGTATTACATTTTATTTTTAACTGAAATAATGTACATATGTAAATAACTCCTGACAGGAAGAAAATATATTAACGTAATATTAGCCTCCTATCAGTGAACAGAACAAATACATCATTTAAATTTATGCTCCACTTTGAAGTGCTGCAAATATAGCCCAATTTGTTTACTTTTGAAAAATGTGATAGTTAAGGAAATCTACTAAAGAATGATTTATGGCAGTCTTTCTAATGTTGTACTTTTGTATAAACTGTACTTGGAACTTTTCCTCAGGCACTTGTCCCTCCCCTTCTTGCGGTGACTGTATTCATAAAGCTGTACTGGCCTTTGACAGAGGCAGAAAGTAGAAAGATTTTTCATTCTTACATGGATTTATTATCCTACGTTTAAGAATGCAGGAGGGAAATTGATCATTGAGATGCACGGATACTGACTTTATAGCTAATGCTTTAGAATCTTTAACAGACTAGGAACCCACAGTTCTGATCAGTCCATATACTTGTCAGGGATTTGGGAGTTAAATTATGACACTCTTCAATTTGACTTAAGTACACCGAATTTAGATTTCATGCTTTTAAAATTTAGACTAAGATGCTCTAGAACTTAAACAGGGTTTTTGTGAATAATTTGAGATTCTATAAACGTTTCATTAAGTTCTGTATAACATGTAGGCTCATGTTATTTTTCTTGCTTCTATTTTTAATCTTCTTGCAAGCAGGCATAAAGGAAGGAAGGAGTGGCCCATTTGGGGTTCAAGAGCTGGCCGCAAAGGGCATGTTGCTATTGCCATTCTTTCCTTGGATCTTTTTCTTGTCTGTCTTGTCTTTTCTTTCTCCCTTTTTTAAAAATAAAATTTTTGGAGCTATATATTGAATTTCCTGGTATACAGGATGTTGTCCCCCTCCCCCAAATTCCACTGAGCTGATTCTTTAAAAAGAAAGGAAGGAATCTATACTGTGCCAAAGAAAATAAGGTACATGTGTGAGAATTTCAAATTGTAACCCAGCGTAGCATTTGGGCAACTCCAGCAGAGCGTGAGCTAATAAATTGTGGAGGCTACGTATTAAGAGAAACAAAAATCAATCAGTCCATTTTGTGTTCAATACTTGCCTAAAGTAAATAGATGGAGACATTGTTTTGCTTCAGTAACAAACAATTTTTAATTTTTTTATTGTCTAGAAATTGCGATTGTCATATTGTTAAAATCTGTTGACCTGGCAGCAAGTAGAATTATTCACCTGGAATTTTGTATTCTGTGCAGACCTTCACTTTCCATTAAGGAAAAAAAAAATAACCTCAGTCTGTGTTGTGATGTGTAGAATTTGCATGCTGAAACAAATGTGCTTGTAGAGACTCTGGTAAAAAAATCCAACCTTAAAAAGTTCAGCTTATACACTAAAAATGGTCTATAACTTAATATGAATGCCTTTCCAGTGCAAAGTTTTGTTTTTGTTTTTTTTTTAAGACTGTAATGTCTCTGCAAAAAGTATGTTTAAGGCTCACATTTTATTCTTCTTTTGTAACAACTGAGATTTTTCTGATGTGGTTCTGCCCCCCTCCTCACCTTCCTTTCTCTCGTGCTCCTTCCCCCATCACTACAGCTCTTTGTGTATTAATTGTTCCTAGGTGTGGGGTGCTGAGTGTTTGTGATTTGATCATCACACGTAAGCTTCCTGTGTACTTGAACACTCTGCCTCCTCTTGGGTGAATTAATGGAAAAGCACGAGATGGGTTTCTCACAGATGGAGCTCCCTTGAAAGGCATCTTAACAATGGAGCCGGCTCAGCCGCGCGCCAAGTGGACGTTTCCCCCTTGCTGAGTGTTTTCATCAGCACCTTTCTCCCTCGGAGAATTCGAGAGCGTTTTCAGAACTGATGGGTTTTCATGGGGCTCTGCAGACCCTCACGAAGACCCGGCTCCCGCTTCCGGAGCGGCCTGAGCGCCGGGCCCAGCTCCGTCGGGCTTTTCATTGGTGCCAGAAATAGGATTGTTAAGCATGGCTACAGACCGCACCTGGCAACTCCAGACGAGGCATGCCGGGAGGGTTTAGGGCGATTCACTCCAGGCCGTAGGCCCTGAATTTTGCAAAGACTGTATTGCAAACGGGGGGGGACTGGAGGGGTCCTCAGGGCTGCCAGGTTACAGTTAGTGACCCGGAGAGCAGCTTGGAGGCTCCCGGGGCCGTC